AGAACAGGCCGGTGGAGGGGTTTTATGGTCTCAACGTACGACGCGGGGAGCGCGTTCGGGATCTTGGGCATGCTGGGTTCGATCCTGTTACTCGTCTGGACAACCATCGGCCTTGCCTTCTCGTGGTACGATTACAACTGGCACAATCGCAACGAGGTCATGGTCGTGCACAAACGAGACGCATACGCTGCAAACGATGTGTCTGGGATCTCTCAGAGCTACCCGAGCGCGCCCCTGCAGCTCATTGTGAGTCGCCGTCGCACGCCGAGTGTCGGCCACTACGAAGATTGAACTGACACCGGCATCCTTCGAGCTCTCCAGATACCCGGAGTCACGACTCCGCTGCACCACCTCCCCATCCTCCTCGTCGCGCTGCTCGCAGCGCAAGTGGTACATGAACTTGGGCACGCCCTCGCCGCCGCGCTGTACGCACAGTTCTACCCCCTTCCTCTCGAACGTATACTCATCGCCGCGCCCTCTGCCATTGCAGAGAGGCCGTGCCACTCGGCTCCGTCGGGCTCGGGTTGACCGTCATCCTCCCCTCCGCGTTCGTCGCACTCCCCGCCGGCGAGACCGAATCTCTAGCTCCTCGTCCCCGTGCACGGATCATCTCCGCAGGCGCGTTCCACAACCTCGCCCTTTGGGTCGTGCTCGCTGGCGCCGCATCTGTGCATATATCCGACTATGTATGGCCTGTGCTGGGGTATCGCGATGTGAGCGCGTACGGGCGCGTGGTGGTGGGCGTCGACGAGGTGTGCCCTCTTCTGACAAGCTACTTCCTTTGTGCTCATCACTGCCTTGCACAGGACTCGCCGCTGTTTGATCATGTGCCTCTCGGGGCAGTCGTCTACAAAGTCGGCGACGAGACCCTTGATCGCACGGAGGGCGCCCTTCATAGCTGGGATGCGCTCCTCTCCGCCAAGCCCGACGGCTCCGCGTCTGTCCTTGGATGGTGCTCGGAGGAGCCATGGTTCGCTGGTACGTGCCACGTACAAAGCTCGTTCGCATTCGTCCCATCGACAGACATGTGGCAGCACACAGTACATCGTGCTGCACCTCGTCGCGTCCGGCCTCGGCCTCGTCGGAGGCGTGTTTCTCGAACACAGCAGACCCGCGCACCGAACGCTGTCTCGACCCGCTCCGCTTCCTCGACTCGAACGCAAACGCAAACGGGGCCGCTCCCATCCCCCGCTGCACGTCTCCCATCGACTGCGGCCACGGCCAAGTGTGCATCCGCCCGCGCGGCGACCAGGAGCTCCTCTCGCTGACGATGCACATCCCGCCCTGGCTGCGGACGTCCGCCGCCGACCTCGAGCGCAAGATCGTGTGGCAGGGGGATAGAGCGCAGATCCTGCACGAAGGTTAGTGTTCGTGCTCGTGTCGGGGCGGAGAAGGTTACCGCATCCTCCCCCTTTTGGCTATCCAGACGCTCACACAGCGCCACCAACAACAGTGCACGTCGGAGATTGGCTCCCGCGCTCCCGCATCCTGCCGCTCGGTCTCCCCGTGTGGTGGGCCATCCTGTTTATGTGCGTGGCTGCTGCCCTTACCCCTTGCACCGGCGGATTTCTGACGAGCAGAACTGCCCCGATAGGTATATGGAGATGCTTACGCTCTCGCTGTATTTCTTCAACCTGCTACCATTGCCGTTCCTTGACGGCGGACAGCTCTTGGACGTGCTGCTCGCGTGGCAGATGCGGCCAGCTGCCGACGAATCCGCAGACACCATGTTGCTCGGCGAGCTCGAGGGCGGCGGGGCTGGTCCTCGCCATCAGCCCGTTGCGCATAGCATGGCTGCGAAGGCGCGGTGGAGGAAGGGTGTGCATGTTGCTGTCGGTGCCTTGTTGGGTGTTTGTACGTTCTTCAGCTTGACAAATGCGATCCCGCGGCCGTGACATTCTGCTAGTACATGTTGGATCTGTTATTGCTTTGTTCCTCGTAGTCATAAGATATCGTGATCATGGAGAGTCGTAGGTAGTCTTGTGTCATGATGCATGACAGATAATGCGGTGGCGGATGGGTTATGGTATGTACACTAGAAGTGAAGGTGAAGGAAGTTCACAGCGAGAGTGTTTCTTCACGGCCAAAGAGATACGAGTATAAAGATAATGTGGTATGGAATGGCCGTGTGGGGTATCGTCCGCATCTGCTTCCATGGTTTCTCGAAATGCGCAAGCATTCGCCCGCTGCCTGCAACTACTGCACGTACGTTTCCGAACCGGCTGTCCACTTTGCCCGCGGGGTATACTTCAAGTCCGCGTCCTGCATCCGCTCCTGGACGGTGACGTGGAATTTCGGCGCGGGGTCCATGATCTCCCGTCCACGTCCCAGGTGAATCCTACAAACACAACCATGAGCGCGCGTCACTTCACATCGCCCCATATTGCGGATGACGAGGAGAGTGAACTGGACAGATAGGACGTACCACCACTTTCTCACCCAATTCCCACTCGCATCCTGATACGTGTACGAGAGCGGGAGGATTTCGAGCAACCACCACGACGGTTTGATCTTGAGCTGGTCGTATATCGGCTGGAGAGCGTTCACGTCCACCGTTGGCGGGGCGCTTCCTGACGTCGAGCCCGAGCCCGAGTCTGCACTCGACAGCTCGGTGGCCACTGGTAGTATAGGGCCCCGAGAGATCACTGTGTTGGGTGGGAGGGGCATGCCGACGCCGGTGAAGATCGACTCGGGGATGTTCGCGCGGACGAGCGCTGCAGCGTCAAAGACAACCCCGCACTGCGCGAGGACGACCTGGCGCACCATCCACCGCAATGTGATGTCGGAGAGACTAAGCTTGGTGTCGTCGGGCACCGAGCCTCCGCCGACATCTAACCCGTAGATTTTTTTACTCAGTTTAATCCAGATGAGAATGGCATATATGAGCTCACCGCTGTGGCAACCTGCGAACCAGACCTCGAGGACGTCCGTTCCTCCTCCAATTCCGTCACCTAGCTGTTCAGCGCTCGATGAGCTTGAGACGCTAGAGCCACTGGGAGAAGCGTCCGGCGCAGCCTCGAGGTCTGATGAAGCTGGCTTGACATGGGGTAGTTGCATATTGGCTGCATCCCTCCTCTTCTTTGAGGGCCATCTGCGTAAGAACGACCCGAGTGTTGGTTGCCTCTTGGTAGCTACCGTGGGATGTTTGACAGCTGGCTTTCCCTCGACCTTCGCGGAAGTATCCGGGTTGGAGTTCAGTTTTTCGAACGCCGCCTTGGTGCTGACTGACGTAGTGCTGCTGTCCGAGCCGGGTTCAGGACGGTGGTAAAGGTTCGGCAGGAACCTGACACGGTGCTGGATACATGGATCAGTCAGGGCGAGGAAGCTGATGGTACGAAACTCCAAGTACCTCGTCCAGGGAGAGGGCGTGCCTGAAAGTCTTTATCGTGGTGTTTGAGGTTGTGAAAGGAAGCGTTCTTCCCATGATGACACCGACGCTTGAAACGGTCTCCCTGGGTGCGGTGGTTGTAGTGAGACTCGTGATCATCAGGAACCTCTCGGTGTCAGTGGAGGAGACTGACCAGACGCCGACGAATTCAATCTTGACATCTCGGCAGAAGGTCTCCTTGAAGCCCGCAGCCAAGGACTGGCTCTCAGCGTCGGTCTTCTTGTAGAGCTTATATGCGAAGGGAATTTGTTCAGGGTTATCTCTAGGAAGCAGTCCAATCTGAAGAAGCGCGAAGCACGAAATCAGGTAAGGGGGAAACACACGTAGCTGCTTGAAACGTGCCAACCTTGTGAAGCATCCCCGCAAGAGCCCTGGCAGTGTACGCGCCGCGCGAGAAGCCTGTCGCATTGCACAGTAAAGCAGCACGGCCAGTACGTCAGCCGGAGCAACCTGGAAGCAGAAGAGACCAAGACCTTACCAAAAATACATATCTTGTCGCCCGCCGCGTAATTCTGCATGAGAAATTGGTATCCACCACGAACGTGTTCGTCAAGGTACCTGCAAACGTTCAGTCAAGATGCCAGCATGATCTCCAAGCAGGCGCAGAGAGCGGACGGACCATGCGAACGCCTCGTCGAGCATTTTCGCACCCCACTGGCAAAGCGGAGAAACGACTCCCGGATTGAAGTAGGTGCCTATGCCCGGCTGCCAAGAGAGTGAGCGGGGCCGCTCTACGAGCTACTGGTACCGACAGAGTGTGGAGGACGATTCTCCGACGCGTGAACGCGGCGAGGATTTCCCTCGACCTGACACCCACCTGGTAGTAGCAAAGCTGTTGGTCGAAATCATCGTCCTTCTTGAGAAGTGCGTAGAACTTGACAACGTTCGTGTTCTGGACTCAGAAAGTGTCAGCTTCGGCTCAGCATCGTTTGGAACAAGCAGTGGTCCTGACATCACCATCGAACTGATTGGAGGTTCCGTCGAAGCATAGAACGAGTGTGCGCGGTGGGCGGACTTCGCTCGTGCCAGGCGTCGACTCCAAGCTGTTCGAAGCGGGCAGAGCAGGCATGTGGGCCGGTTGAGAGCTGGAAATGCGGGGAGAAGAGCGAGTGAGCACCAGCTAGCGATCTTTTATATGAGTTATGACGTACTTCTCACCCCGAGAAAAGTATTGACGGGGAGTCAATCAGAAGAGAGCGGGGGCCAATGGACGTGCGAAGGAAGAGAGCTGTGAAGGGGTTATATGGCGACCCGGGTCCCGCGGATATGAAGGGGAGTGATCCCGGCGAGGATAGTGCAACCACGTTCTCCACATGACCGTCCTTCGTCCTCATCCTGATCTGATCCCATCCCAACTCGCTGCCTATATTCAGCATCCTTGGTTCGCGCTCTCAAGCCCAGCTACTCATCGGCAGGGTCATCTGTGTCGTCGGGACACGAGATCATCGCCGGCGCAGCTATTGAATGTTGAAGCTTGAAGCTTGAAGCTTGACGAACGTTCGCATAGGAAGTTCATGTGCGCAGTTCGAGAGACGAGCACTTAAGTGAGTGAGTAATTAGGGTCGTACGAAGCGATGTGCTATATATATTTAATCAAAACTGTCACATTTATGCCTTCTTAGCTCAGTGGTAGAGCGCGCCACTCGTAGTGCGACATGGTGAGGTCGGTTGTTCAATCCAGCCAGGAGGCATGCTTTTGCTACTCTTTGCCAGTCATGCATTGGCAGATCTGGTATGTAGCTGGCAGGTTGTAGCTAGTTCTCTGGAGTCAATTGACGATGTCGCAGGGTTCTCGGGTGCGATCTGGTAAGTGTTGACTATCAACTGGTACCTCCTGACTCGCTTCTAACGGGAAGACAGGTGAAGGCGCTCTTTCTCAGTGTAGTACCACCATCCTCGTCTGCTCGACAACTGCATGCCCTCCACGGAAGTTGAGTTCATACGCGCACGAATTGCATTCGTTTAATGCAGCCTCAAGACTTCCCTGACTGCCTGACGCTCGCCTACAAACATGATACTGGTGATCAACCCATCCATGTTGATGTCTACCCCCAACCTCCCTTTCGTCCCCTGCAAACCGCACGACCAAACCGAAGCTACCCGCAATCGTCTACTTCCACGGAGGGTCTCTGACCGTTGGGAATCGACGGAGCTGGTTTCCCAGCTGGTTGCACCGTGCGTGTCCTGCGTCCTCCATCGCATCAACGAGTCGTTCCCAACAATCTGTGCGACCGGGTCCTTTATCTTCCTCCAAACACCCCATAATCCCATCCATGCTCTTTAGAACGCGTCACGTCGTCTGGAATGGTCTTCATGTCAGCGGACTATACCCTCTTGGCCCCAGCCACCGGACATGATATCCTGAACGACATCAAGGATCTCTTCCGCTTCCTCGAGACCGAGGCCAATCGGTGGATCCGAGAGGCTTGCACAGAATTCGAAGAGCCAAGTCGCACCAAGTTCGCGTTTGAGATCGATCCCCAACGACTTGCAGTCGCAGGCAGCAGCGCAGGGGGTTTGTGCGTGTATCTTGCGGGACTGTATGCGATACCGAAGCCCAAGGCTGCATTGTCACTGTACGGGATGGGCGGGGACATGCTGGTGAGCCCCATGCATCTCTTTTGCTAGTGTCTTTGGCTCATCCTTGCAGACATGGATGTATCTGGCCCCCAAGACCTCCCCGTTCCTACGCGGCCGAGAGATTCTCGACCCTAAGGACTACGCTGAGTTTCTGCACCCTGACTGTCGCAACCTCCCTCTCGTCTCGGACTCTCCGCTGGCCTATCATCCACCCACGCATCATATCCCCAACTTCCCAGCCAACCCTCGCATGCTAGTCGGTCGGCTGTATCTGCAGACCGGCACGTTCCTGGACTACCTCACCGGGTCGCACGCACCCAGTCTGAGTGCATCGCTGCGGAGTCAACTCTCCCAGGCCGAGTTGCTCACACAAGATCCAAATGCTAACGCAAGCAGCGGAAAGTACCGCGACGCAGTACCTCCGGAACATCTACCTTTGTTTCCACAATTATGTGACATGTCTGTGTTTCCTCCGACGCTTTTTCTTCACGGCGCTGCCGACTCCGCGGTGTGGGTCAGAGAGTCCGAGAACTTGCATTCGCTCTTACAGTCCGCTGGTGTCGCTACGAAGCTCAAAATTGTTGAAGACAAAGAGCACAGCTTCGACTACGAGCAGAGTGCCGAGCAGGAGTTTGGTGGACCGGGTGGTCTTTTTGAGGAAGCGGTGGACTTCTTGAGGACACACCTGTCCACATAGGTGAGGTTGCGACTTCTCGTAGACTCGAATAGACATCATCGCTGCGTTTGCAGCAAGAATGTTGTCAACATAGAGGACACAATTGCGATCACCCATACATAGTATGTACACACAGCAGAACCCGACCGAGTACGAGAGCAGTAAAAGAGCCATAACGTCCGTGAAGCGTGAGCACCAACCCATGCGCCATCATCAATCGTGTCCACCCCCAACCGGGATCGCTGTCCCGCCCATCAGGAACGACGGCGTCTCCTCCATCGACGGCTCGTCGTCCACCGAGCCCGACGCCAACAAGATCTCCTCCGAGCTCAGCGTGCGCGCGGGGAACGTGATCGCCGTATCCTCCATCAGCGGCACCACCTTCTCCGAGCTTTCGAGCGCGACCCGCAGCCGCTCCGTCAGCGAGTCCGTCGCGTCCGCCTTCTCCTGCCACTCCGCCGCCGTCGGCGTGCTCGTCCCGTTCGACGCGCCCGAGCCGATCTCGACCTGCTCGTGCGGCGGCATCGCGTCCAGCAGCCCGTTCGTGCGGAAGCCCGCACGCTCCTGCGCCGCAGCCGCAGCCGCCGCTTGCGCGCGCTCGGGGTCGATTGTGAGGGCGGTCTGCGCCCACTCGCGGTCGAGCGCGTTCTCCCAGCCGAGCTCGCGGCAGAGGTCGCGCACGATCGCGTCGCACTTGCCGAGGAGGAGGACGTCGTCGGCGCGCGTGCCGATGTCGCCCGCGAAGTCGAGGTTGATGAGGATGCGGGGGCAGCGCTCGGGCGCGAGTGCGGCGAGCTTCGCGAACGGCTGCACGGTGAGTGACGTGCCAATCACGAAGAGGAGGTACGCGCTGTCGATCTTCGGGAGGGACTGGGAGACGAACTCCGGGAGCTGTGGGCATGAGCGTGAGCAGCAGGCCCGGTAGGGTGCATGGGGCGAATTTGAGTCGCCGACTCTCACCGATTCACCGAAGAAGACGACGTCGGGCTTGACGAGTCCGCCGCACGACTCGCAGTGGACGACTTCGCCCTTCTCGACCGCGCTCCGCATCGTGGCGGAGTCGTACTCTTTCTTGCAGTCGATGCAGTGCTGGGACGCAAAGCTCCCGTGCGCCTCGACGAGCCGGTCTGGAGGGATGCCGGCCTGGCGCTCGAGGGTGTCGATGTTCTGCGTGAAGCATGTGTGCAGCCGGCCGCTGTCGGCAAGGAGCTTCACGAAGGAGTGGGTCAGCGTTGGCCGGTAGCGGCCGGGATAGAGTTCGCGAGTGAGGGTATAGACTGTTGTGGTTACGCCGGTGTTGTTAGGATCGGTGGTGATCAGCAACATTCGCATCTCTGCTGAGTGCATGTAAGTCGTACATGGCATAGGATTGAACCGGAAGTAGTTGAGTTCAAAGACAGCCTTTGGGTATGGAAGGTTCAGCTTCGCTAATCTCGCCTGTGATTTGCAACATTGTGAGGACCCTCAGCCACTTGGGATGTACCGAATTCACGAAAGATCAGACCGCACATATAATCCTGTGAACAGTTAGCAGGAGTACTGTGTATATGGATCTCACATATGTACCTGTCCTCGGGGACCGAAAGTCAGGAATTCCAGCTGCCGTGCTCACGCCTGCGCTCAATCCGCATTCGGTACAGTCAGAGGTTTCGCACCAAACAGACTCTACTCGTGGTTGATAGGCGTACCTGCACCAAGCTGACGGATAGATCCTGATCAGTCATAAGGGGACCGCAGAAGGTGCCTGATGCTGACCATGACAGAAATCCGCTGGCATTGCTCGGACTTCATGAACTTCGCGATAGAAGGCAGGTCTCGCCCCTCTAGGACCGCCGTCGGGCCATCGTAGAGCATCAGGAGTTCATCGGAGTCATCCATACCCAGACCGTAGGACTGTGGTTCCGTGAGCGTGGGTATGTCGTGAGTATTACAGGCCACGGAGCTGCGGAGAATCCCACCTGTGCGGTAATGCCTCGATGATGGTGGAGAGGTGGAGGACGTAATCAGCTGGAGATCTCAGGTATAAGAGTCGGGATTGTGGGCTTGGTATTTCCGAGTCGCCACGGAGCCGGAGAAGCTGGGAAGACCTACAAAGCGGGTCAATCTGTGAGTGAGCGGTAGAGACAAAGTGACGGACGTGTGCGGGGCAGACTCGCAAGGCCCCGAGGTGGGCAAGGGGACACGGCGAGGCTTGTGCACGGCGGGATGGTCGTGGTGATGATTCGAGAGAAGTCGCTCTGAGGATGCAGACTTGATGCAGACCCTCACATGCGCTTGCTCCGCTGCCGCGGCCGCGCTTAGACACTATACTCAATATGACATACGTCCTTTCCCTGATCGTTCGCACTGTCAGAAGAGGCCTACTGGATGTGAACCATGCCCATTCCGATGTCTACCCTTCCCATCTGCACTCACCCAGCGAATCGCAGAAGTCCGCTCGGACCCACCTGCTCAAGAGCTCCTATTGTGGATGCGGAGATCGTTGGACTGCACAATGGCGAGAATAGGTCGGGGCTCGGAGGTCAGCTGGAAACGATGTTCAAGGCTTCAGGCTGACAATCAATGCACTTGTCGCAGAATGTGGGCCGACGGTTCTGTGTGCCATCATCCAGTTCAGTATAAGGCTGTAAGATGGTGGACAGATCTCAAGAGTCAATAGCTCATCACATTGATTCTTCAACGCACGAGTAACTTTTTTTGGTCGGAGCGCACAAGCCTTGAGCTACTCTCGTCCCGTAGGCCCATCAGGTTGCTCGCGACCCGCGAATGCAGGTCAGGCGCAACGCAGTGATACCTCGTATTCCCATGGATCGATGTCGACTCCGGTCCAACTCCGCGAGGTGACCTGCCATCGGAGAATGAACTTGATGCGGACTCCAAGCGCCTCAACAGACTTCCTACCAGCACGGCGATGAACTCTGGCTTACCGGTCTACAAAGCCCTGAAGTGTTTGGGCTACACATCAAATGACCAAGTGATTATGTGAGCTTGTGTGGCACGACAGCAGGGCCAATTATATGCTATCACCGTTCACCTTGGTACTTATGTGGCACAATACTTACAGGCAGGAAGGGGCGAAGTGATGTGGCTCCTGTCAATCCAGTGTATCGACGCCTTAAAATCGACGGGCTGCCGTGAAAGCTTGCACAGCGTGTGGTTCTCTGGCATCAGTACCAGGCACACACAATCGTAATAGACCGCACCATCAACACTTTCAACCACATGAGCGCCTACATAACGCAACATCTCCTCGTTTCTCTCAGTGCGCAGACAAGCGAGAGAATGTACAATGCAAATTCAGAACACATTCTCAAATGTTCCTGCACCGACATCCCCTGGGATCTGCGCTGCGGCACTAGGCATTACCAATAGTCAGCCCGCGCCCGTACAGCATGTGCGGGTCAGCATATCGTTCGTGCAACCTGCTCTCCGGGT